AAGCTCAGGGTGCAGGGAGGGGTAGCTAGGAGCTGTGTGCAGGCAGGGTGTAGCTCAGAGTGCAGGCAGGGATGTAGGTCAGGGTGCAAGGAGAAGGGTAGCTAGGAGCTGTGTGTTGGGAGGGTTGCTGCTCCCTGAGTGCTCTGCCAGCCCTGAAGCCAGGTCCCCCTGCCCAGGCAGTTCTTACCAGTTGCATGAGCAGTCAAAGGGGGCTGAGAGTTGAGGAGCAGCCGCAGCCCCGAGCAGCAGGAGGAGGAGACGGGTTGGGAGTGGGTGAATGCCACAGCAGCTGCCCACTCCCTGGCACCAGCCAGAGCAGCAGCTGCCCTGCACTGCCCTGCTCTGGTTTCCTGACTCTGACCTGGCCAGGGAGGGAGGCCTCCGGCGGGAAAGGAGAGGAGGAGGTGGGGAGTGTAAGTGGAGCTAACCAGAGTGAGGCAATCCCAAGGGCAAGGCACTGCAGTTTGGGGGGGGACAGCAACACCTCCCCTGTGTCTCCCCCCAACTCTGCTCATAGGGGACGCTGTGTTTGTGAATCCCCTGAAACTGGCTCATGGCCCCCTGGTTGAGAACCACTGAGCTAGGAAACACCATCCCATCTGATGAATGATTACTTGGCCTCTGTTATTCATGCCTCAGCATCTCTTGGCTGCATTACTACAGTAATGCAATATTCCTGGGAAAGAAGCCTTCAGTGTTTAGGAATCCCTAACTAGTTTACTTGGTCCTGCCTCAGCACAGGAGGACTTAATGACTTCTCAAAGTCCCTCTCAGCTCTACATTTCTATGATTCTAGTACAGAACTCTGCAGTGCATCTACTCAGCAATACTGGCTACCACCATGAGCACACCAGACTTGTTCTCCACACTCTATACTGGCTTTCCATATCCATAGAATATCAAATCCAAGTTCAAGGTCTTGGCCCTTATCTTCAAGGCACTCAGTGGCCTTGGGCTGAGGGAATCTAAAAGCTCAACTAAAGCTATGGAAGTCCATGGCCAACATTTTTGCTTCTCTGCCACATGGAACTTTCTACAGTAAGTAAAGCTTGCCTGGGCAGGATACAGAGTTTTCTCAGAGGCTAGTCCAAGACTGTGGAATGAATTCCTGCAGGAACCACGGATTATTACAAACTTCGCCACCTTCTGCTCCAAGTGCAGGGCACATTTCTTTGACCTTGCCTTCTCTCACACAAATATCTAGAAATGTGTG